ATACACACTATGTCAGTATATGAATATTTAAATTCTGAACAAAGCTGGGAATCCCAAGACGTACGAGACATATACCACACTTATGTGATAGTTAGATGCTGATAAGCGGTGACGTTTGTCAGCTTTAATGCTGACCTGCACTCTTAAATTCCAGTCACAGACACCTATCTGTTACTAATGTCACATTTCCACGTTCATGCAAAGATTGTAACAACGCAAATTCATCATTCCAACTATGAAGACTACTGGTAAAATTTCCCTTGGCAACGCTTTTATCATAATAATGGTGCCGCAATGCATTGCCTTTCTTATCAGCCGGGAAAGGATAACAACCATAGACAGTGACGTCATCGCATATTGAAAGTGCTGCAACAACAGACCTGATCCCAGCTGAAGGTGTGGCTGTTACAAAACTGCGAACAAAGGAGGAACGATTTAAATGAGTTCAGTTTTATAATAAAAACATAATATCCTTTTGTAAACTCGGGTAATATTTTTTCTTAAAATTGTAATAATGTATGTATACAAAGATGGACAGTTTTGCCATTCTCAGCAATAATATAGATTTTCTAAATTTTCATCAACATATTCGGCGAAATATTCACTAGCCGATTTTTTTAAATATTATTATCGTAATGGTTTATACTCCTAATACTAAGATACATTAGGTAAATGTAATATTATGAAAAGTAAACGTAGTTCTAAATTTGGTTCGAATAAACATAATATTACCTTTTTAATATGTTGACAAAAATATCATTGTTCGTGTAAGCCATTCGCAATCTCAAGTTATATGTAGATTTCATTTCTTGTACCACATCACGTAACCAATCTGCTGTGAAGCCTCTAATGTACGGACTGGAGTACCAAAGTACAGAATCGTTCATAAACCGCAGCTCTTCTCTCTTTTGAGACCGTGTAATATTCAACGTTCTAATAATTCGTGGATTGATTACTGTAACATTGGTTTTATATCCAACATCAAGGGCATATTTAACTACTGGGGGTACGTTACATCGAATGACGAACTCTTTGGAGTTGATCTCATCACCACATCTACTGTCCCGGAGAATGCCTCCATTTCCCACAACAGCACACGTCTTCTGTGGTTCCACGGGTATTAATATCTGGTTTACTGATTCTGAATGGTAATTAAACGCCATATCCTTAACTAACGTACCTTTATTATAAACTCTTATTAAACTCCCATCTTGTGTCTTGTTGAAAAGTCGTTTTCTATTAAGATAATAATCATTAATATAAATAATTATGTTATTGGCATGTCCACATACTCTAATCAGCCATTTCCCGGGAACATTTCCAAGGCTATATATACCAGACACACATCAACATTTGTATACCTGTCATATATATGTGAAGCTTTTAGCTTCAAGAGGTCGTCGCGCCGCGCATGTGCGACATTTATGTTGATAAACATTGATTTTCCCATAATCCAATGCACTCTTCTAACGAGTCGAAGTTTTGAACTGAACGCGACTTGCATTAATTACCGCAGGTGACTCACTTTATATCTTCCAATCATCAA